AGATGAGCCATCGGGAGACTTTCTTCCTTTACTGTTCTGCTCTGGTGACCATTCCAGGCATCAGGGGTCTTAGCGGGGAAGGCAAGCGAGGAGCGGTGTTGAAGGCTGTAAATCTTGGCCATTCATTTTCGAGATTAACACTGAATAACGGGGAATTACTTCTACAGCCGACGCTGCTGCGCTTGAGAGCAGTAGGTTTGGAAGATAATGAAATAAATGAAATGGAATTATATGAGGGATGATGGAATAAAGCTCGGTGATAATTTCCTTGTTATCGTATTTAAATCATGGTTGCTGCGGATATAAAAATTATATATATGTATGTACCTACGTCTCTCTCTCGCTCACACACAAACACACACACACACACACACACACACACACCCACACCCACACACATACACACACACACTCACACACGCACACACACACACACACATACACACACACACACACACACACACACACACAATGAAAGAAAGAACAAAGAAAGAGACAGCTAGAGAGAACGAGAGACAGACAAAGGGACAGCCAGAAAGAGAGAGAGAAAGACAGAAAAAAAGAAAGAGAAAGAGAGTTAGACCGAGAGACAGAGAAAAAGAGATAGCCAAAGAGAGAGAGAGAGAGAGAGAGAGAGAGAGAGAGAGAGAGAGAGAGAGAGAGAGAGAGAGAGAGAGAGAGAGAGAGAGAGAGAGAGAGACGGAGACAGAAAGAGAAGGCGAGAGAGAGAGAAAGACGGAGACAGAAAGAGAAGGCGAGAGAGAGAGAGAGAGAGAGAGAGAGAGAGACGGAGACAGAAAGAGAAGGCGAGAGAGAGAGAGAGACGGAGACAGAAAGAGAAGGCGAGAGAGAGAGAGAGAGAGAGAGAGAGAGAGAGAGAGAGAGAGAGAGAGAGAGAGAGAGAGAGAGAGAGAGACGGAGACAGAAAGAGAAGGCGAGAGAGACCCCGGTGCTACACCTGCGGGAAATCTTCACGAGGGGCGTCACAACCTGGTTCCACTCCGGGATTTACGGCCTGAATGTAAATATCTTAACCTAATCCTCTCAAGGATAAACAAATATTGAACAAACATTAAACAAAGACCGCGGGGTCATACAGAAGAGGCTAGAGGGGAGGGGGGAGTGGTAGAGGGGAAAGGGGAGAGGGGAGGGCGAGAGGTAGAGGGGAGAGGGGAGGGGGGAGAGGAAGAGGGGAGGAGGTCCGTGGTATTTAAATCATGTGAACAGTGCGGAGACAATCGTTCCAAAAATTGCACATTAGAAATTAAGAACAGATCGCCTCCGCTCTCTGCCTTAAGAAACTGAATCACGTTTATGTATCGCTTTACTAATAGGGTTATGCTTCGTCGAAAATAGGATTACGACAATCCTCACATAAACTGGCGACTAAGATAAAAAATAAATGAAATAAAATAAAAATAAACAGTTGCAATCGACGGAAAATAGACTAAATAAACAAACAAAATACAGAAAGAAAAAAAAACAAACCAGACGATGCATACTACGGAATAAAAAAAAAACCTCCGTACGTACGAATCGAGCAAATCAACTTTCACAGGAACGTAATCTCTACAAGTAAACGTCCCTTACTTCTCACGACAGACAAACGAACGAAGAGATCACCCTCGGATCTCCCTCGCCTATTTCTTAGGAGAAGCTAACTTAATCTTCCGCAATCTTACTCCTTCCTCTCACTGTTTACTCTTTTCCCTTGCCATCTCGGTCATGCTGATTACGCAGGCGGACTGGGCGGATGCTGCGGATGTGGAACGGATGAAATATTCTCCGGTTTTTTGCCTCCGTGCGAGGGGGTTTGCAGGCATGTGTGTGTATGTTTATGTAGGGATATGTTATGTATACCCTTTGTACACATATAAACACACAAACACACACACAGAAACACACACACAGACACACACACACACATATATATATGTACATATATATATATATATATATATATATATATATATATATATATATATATATATATATATATATATATATGAATATATATATATATATATATATATATATATATATATATATATATATATATATATATATATATATATATATGTATGTATGTATGTGTATGTCTATATATTTATGTTCATGCATATATATATATATATATATATATATATATATATATATATATATATATATATATATATATATATATATATATATATATAGAGAGAGAGAGAGAGAGAGAGAGAGAGAGAGAGAGAGAGAGAGAGAGAGAGAGAGAGAGAGAGCGTATATATACATATATACACATGTATGTATGTGTATATATACAAATATAATATATGTATATATATATACATATACATATATATATATATATATATATATATATATATATATATATATATATATATATATATATATAGTTATGTATTATGCCTAGAGGTGCGCAACAGTTCGTTAATTCTTGTTGTTTATACCCATTATGAGCAAATACCAAGGAAGGAAGGAAGGAATAAGCACACAC